TCACTTTAAAATGTTTAAGAATTAATTAAGCTGTAAAGATTGGGGAGATTGAAAATGGAATCATAAACATTTCTTATTTTTATACTTTATTAGTATTGCTAAAACGTGTTTTCAGTCTATGATATAACAACTGTCCCGCCAACGCAGCACAACAGTTTCATTAGAAACTAATCACTACGTATAATATAACAAAGCTTTGTGATTCGTGGCACTGAAGTGAAAAAGCGTTTATTAAAACTGATCTTTACTCTCAACCAGTCAATTATACAAAATATCTGCCACTTTTTACGCTATAAACAGCCTTCATTATATGCAAAGGCTTAGTAAATATCTAAAAAAATTACTCTACGTTTTCAAACTCTAAGGATGCCTTTGTTTATCAATGATAAAAGTGTTTTTGTAATTGATTATATCTGTCACTTTTTATGCTATAAACAGCCTTCATTACATGTAAAGGCTTTAATAGTAAATATCTAAAAAAATTGCTCTACGTTTTCAAACTCTATCTCAAATCGCACTCTTTTGTACTCTATCTAAGTAGCCTAGGGTGTAAATTAATCTGTTGTTCTGGTAATCAGAAGTCTCTAACATTACGTCTAAACTATGTATATTCCGCCAATTACGGAAAGAAACAATGAAGTGATCTTTCGAAGCTGTGACGTAACTAAATCCCAGAAAAAAGGCTTCAATGGGTCGACTTGCTACAGCTACAAACATGTCCTATCAACTAAGATACGAAGCCGTTAGATTATCCCTCCGGTATCACAGGGTCCGGTTCGGAATCTCAATCCCATTGAAGCCTTGTTATGTTTCGGTCAAAACTACGAAGATCACTCTTAGTCTATTCATCTGCCATCTACAGTTGGCATGGAAGCCGCACAAAGCGAAGTCCAGCCGAGCCAACCTTGCAAAGTGCAGGGATCACGATGGCTATCTCAGGAAACTGTTTACACATAAGTCCCTAGGTCTACAGTGCTTTCAGGGATGGGAGCAGGAGCATCGCTAGTGACACCTTAAAAAAAAGACAAAACTGGGTTAATAACCGGGAGGAAAATATCAAACTTTGTGAGTTCGATTCGTTTTTGTGAAGTGGCAACCTAAGAGCGTAATCCCTCGTCTTTAATTTCAAAATTCCCGCGAAAAATCAACATACGAATACGAGACATGAAACAATAAATAATTAAATTCCACGAATATAAATCCCAACTTTTTGCGTTCCTTTCTTTATCGGCTTGAAAAGTGGCAAAATAAGAGCGTAATTATATACTAATTGTAATTGTATAATCCGTCTTATTATATAGATTCTGATGAAATACCTGTTATCTTTCACATGTGAGGATATTGATGTCGTCATGGTTACTGACATGATCAGCCAATAACAATAGAGCTTCCCTTTTATTATTTTCTTTATTAACATTTTTGAAGCTCAATTTGACTTTTTTGGAACAGAAACTTACATTTTCTTGGGATAAAACGTACTTTGTCTATGCGTGTCATGATGACATTTTTTGCGAACTTGGGCTCAGTTTAGGTGACCACTTTTTCGCTGTTTTGAAAATGAATAAAAAACTGTGTTTAATCTGGACATTTTCATCAGTATCGATATAATAAACATAACATAACATGGCCGCTTGGGGATACAAATTTTATCTTCTCGTGCTGGATTCTCAGTTATTAAAATTTTGGTCATTTCTTAGCTATAAGTTAATTTTGACAGATCTCATTCTCAGCTATCAGTTAAAATTTTGGTCATTTATCAGCTAACAGTTAAAATTTTGGCCAATTCTCAGCTATCAGTTAAACCCCATCAGGACCCTCTAATTGTAAAGAAATACCGCGTTATCCCCTAATTTTCAGTGAATTGATGTCATACATCTCTCGATAACTTGAACCTTTTTCGATTTTCCTTGAAGATTCGAGTTATCGGGATTCAACTGCTCATCGTTTCTAGGCGTTTTCAATTTAATGTGCTCACAGTTATTTGACATACCTTCTCTCGACAAGTTCTCCAACGCTTCTGGACAACCTGCCAGACGTAAAGCCTCGCACAGCTTTTTGGTTGTAGCTCTTTGAGTGCCACGACTCCATGCTAAAAGCCCCTGATAGAATTTTTCTGCAACGTTATCACAGTAATCCTTGCCCAATTTTTCTATAGTCACTTCTGCTATGCTCAGATTTCGCAGCACGTCTTTCCAATTCCCTCCAACCTGCTGGTATATGCAACGACAATGCCTCTCTGTTACTGGTTCGTTATCGCTGCCTAATGACGAGAACCTGAAAGCTTCTGTTACATTGGCCAAGGAAACTGCAAGGAGAAACATGCATCAGTATTACATTCATAACGTTTGAAGGGCTCCGTACAAGCTATACGGTGTGGTGTGTGTCGTTTCTCACCGGCGTAAAACAGCAGGCGATTGTACGGATTCTCTTGAAAATACAGTAACTCGAAAGAGAGAAAACACACTGAATAAAAATGGCTTGTCTCTTCTCCACTCCCCGATAGCCAATGTAGCTTATAAGGATAAGCCATCTTTAGTATCACATACAGTCGAAGCTCCCGTAAGTGGACACCCTCGGGAAGCAGAAAAAGTGTCCGCAACTGGAGCTGGCCGCTTATGGGAATGATTCTCGTAAGCGGCTACTAGCAGGATAAGGGATAGGTGGCTGCTTACGAGAGCTTGTACCGCGCACACTAAACAGTACCAATGAAAAAAAAGACGTAATGTAGGCAATGAATGTTTGTTTTATAAAAGCAGTGATGCAGTTCACAAATGACTGAGGCTAACAGGATTGTTCCTTTGTGGTGCATGGTGTCCACTTACGGGAGCTTAGGAACAAAAGAAAGACTACGAGCAGTTCTTCTTTTCTCTTAGTTCATCGAGTGAGAAGCATAAAAACGAGAGTAAAAAAAAATGGCCACGAAAGAAATGATGACTAGACACGCTCGTAGTCTACGGTGAGCCATGAGGTAAAACAATACAGTCAACTATCCCCTAGCGACCACTTCTCGTAAGCGACCACTTTGTAAATAACCGTTTTGTTTTTCAGTCAAATACTGTTTCAAAAACTCTCTCGTAACCGACCACTGCTCAAATTTCTTAAGCGACCGTAAATACTTTTTAGGCCAGAAATTTGACATATTCTTTTTTTCTGTTTCTGGTAAGCGACCACCCAAGAGGATTGTTAGAAAATCATTACTTAGGTGTCACAAAAGTTCAGTTTTTCTTTTCCATTCAGTGGCTCACGCTTCAGACTACATTGCTCATTAATCTTGGGAACCCATGATAACCTCGTATGAATGACATGACTGTGATGCTTGAGAAATTATTGAGTTCTCCATGTGTTCGACAAACGGAGCGTGTTGCAAAAACCAAGCGTTGTCTATTTGCTTGATTATAGCTGATAAGGCAACAACTTTATATAATTAGTTAATCGATTCAGTTTGGGCTTATTTCGTTGATTTTTCCCGTAAGCGACCATCTCCCTTAAGCGACCACTTTTTTGTGTACCAAGGGTGGTCGCTTACGAGAGAGTTGACTGATTCAGGCCGCCTTCAACGGGATTTGAACCCATGACCTCCACGTTACTAGTGCGATGCTCTACCAACTGAGCTATGAAGCCACACGTTGGGAGCAGGTCAATGAATGTGATGATGAATATATGAATGAAATCACTCGCCGTTCTTCGCACTTCTTTTCGCGTCGCTCCCCCACTATCCGAACGCCTGGAACAGGCTAATATGTGAACTACGGAAATTAAATCAAGTGAATAAGTGATCATCGCAGTTATGAATGCAATTTTTGCAATTGCAATACAAGCCTGAAAAAAAAAAGTTCAGGCTTACGGTATATTGCAATAAATATATTGCAAAAAATTGCATTCATATTAAACTGCTATGATCACGTATTCATTTAATATATACTAATTGTAATTGTATAATCCGTCGTCTTTACTTTCAATAAAATTTTCGCGAAATATCAGCCAATCTAGAAGATTATTTCTAAGCCATATTACATGAAAACAAAACATAGAATAATAAAGAAATACAAATTACAAACTTCCGAATCAGAGGCTAAAAAACTTGATTGTATATTGTTTCTAAACGATTTCAATTAACAGAATTAATCTGCTCCCAGTTATTTAACATACCTTCTTTCGATAACTTATCCAACGCTTCTGAACAACCTGCAAGATGCAAAGCCTCGCACAGCTTTTTGGTTGTAGCTCTTTGAGTGCCACGACTCCATGCTAAAAGCCCCTGATAGAATTTTTCTGCAACTTTACTGTAATCCTCGTTCAATCTTTCTATAGTCACTTCTGCTATGCTCAGATTTCGCAGCACTTCTTTCCAATTCCCTCCAACCTGCTGGTATATGCAACGACAATGCCTCTCTGTCACTGGTTCGTTATCGCTGCCTAATGACGAGAACCTGGAAGCTTCTGTTACATTGGCCAAGGAAACTGCAAGGAGAAACATGCATCAGTATTACATTCATCATGTTTTAAAGGGCTCCATACTAGCTATACGGTGCAGTGTGTATTGTTTCTCACTGGCATAAAAAAGCAGGCGATTGTACAGATTCTCTTGAAAATACAGTAACTCGAAAGAGAGAAAAAAACACTGATCAAATAAAAATAGCTTGCATCTTCGCCACTCTCCGATAGCCAATGTGTGGTTCCAGAAAATATCCATACCTCCCCCACAGAAGGTTTTTTGGTTGGAACCCCCCTCCCCCCTGGAATTTCCAGTTTAGCTTCATACTTTCCTTTAAAAATTTTGGCTTTTGAGACCCCCCTCCCCCTCGGAATTTCCAATGACCTTCCTTGGGGTGGGTATGGATATTTTCTGGAACCACACAATACAGGTTATAAGGATGAGCCATCTTTTGTATCACATAATACCAGGCGAGTAGAAGTCTATAACTTCTGGATATTAAACGCTCATGCAGAAAGATACTATTCAGTCAGTGATACAAGCTACTCGGAAAAATAATTCTGAGTTTTCTCAATAGGAGTCGAACCTATGACCTTGATCCACACACCGGTCGGACGCTCTACCACTGAGCTACAGGAGACCCGTGTGGGAGCTATACCATATAAAGAACTATAGCTAATTATACATGTCCTTATTTTCTATTTGAAGTTGCATGCACAATGTTCTGTGAGAACGTATTAAAGTAGGGTTACATGAGGACCCGCACGCCTTGGATACTTGGACGATCGATGGGCATTTCAAATGCCCTATTTCGCAATATATAACAATAGACATGTTGAAAACATACACCATATCTCGTTTTGAAAACCTCGATAAATGTCTGAGATATGTTTAGTCACACGTCACCACTTGTGAACTAATTGCTATTTCTGGCTGCGAGATATATTATTTCGATACAAACAAGGAGTTTTAATGCAATGGCTCTAGATTTACGGCTTGATGTTCTGCAAACATTTCGATCTCCGAGATGAAGTTCTCTCCGAGGGGAAGTTTTCGCTTGCTGAACATCACATGATGATAACCTCGATCGAGCTATGAAAAGACTATTCCATTGAAGAGGGAATATAATGTTGCTTGTCATAGCCGGACTTGACTTTGACACCGGGCGCCGTCTATGAAGAAACGTTTTCGTCTTTTGTAACGTTTGTCAGTCTTGCAAATGGTATTTTGCACTTCTACACGACAAATGAAATGTCACAAATGAAAGGTCAGTTTTGTATTGTAGTGCAAAACCAACTCAAGTGTTCAATCTCGCATGCAACCCATCGAAGTGTTGTGTTGTATTTCATCCCAGTGTTTGTTCATTGAACTATCGAGTTCAGCAAACATGAACTGTAATGTCCGGGTATTCACATCGTGGATCATTCATTTCTTGATACAATCATAAGTACTAGAGGATGCCAGGTCTAAGTCCTTAGTTAAAAAAAACGTAATCCGGCACTTACAATTTACAAAAGTTAAACCCGCATGCTGTGATGTCCGGCCAGTCAAAATGGAAAATATAGGCGAGTTTTGTTTATGTTATTTGTATTGCAACAATTTGCTATATGATACCGGCATAGCAAACATATATTTTTCCCGTAATGAAAGACTTCAAATTTACCAGCCAAATATACATGTTCATGTACTTTATTTATCACACCCTTTCCAGCGGTAGCAAGAGAAACCAGCAAGAAACGGCACGCGCTATAATTTTTATTCGTGGAACACCCAGGAGTATGGAATGACCGGCAAGAGATACTAATAAAAACGCGCTATAATTTTTTTTATTCGGAAGTAGTTTATTTTTATTTGGAAGTAGTTCGCACTTAATATTTTCCGTGCATCTGAACTGGTGTGAGGCACACCTCATACAGTTCGACGTAACATAAAAATAGGTACGCAACGCGTACATGTGTGTACTGCAAGGTTTTCCCAAGGTTGATTTATCATTTGGAAGTGGTAAAGTCTTTGTCACTAAATATGATTTACTCAAAATACACTAGCCAGCTTGGAAAGGATGGTGGGGATAGAAGGGAAGAAACTGGGAAGGGTGTATAAAAATAAAATTCACATCATAACAAACTGTGTTAATTTTACTTGCCAGATAAATTTATTATTTATCTAATCTTGATAAATATGAAGAATGTAATTTACAGAAACAGAGTTGTAAGACTTGAAGAATGTGAATTGAACTATATTGATAATTGTTTTTGTTTTTTTCAAAACTGATCAGTTATGTTAAGCTTGAAGAAAAAAGTATCAATTCATTATTTTGAGATAGTGACTGACTTCACAAGCCAAGTTAAAACCAAAAAGAACAAAGTAATGTAATGATCAGAGGGACTCCAACATGGCGTTTCCATACTGAGCTCTATAAATTTGTGTGGAACATTTTGACAAATAACTCGAGTACGGAATACCGCACAGACCTGAGACTTGGACTGATTCCTTATTTATTTATTATCTATGACATGTCAATTCCTTGACTTCATTCATTGAACGGTTTTGATTTTTTTAATTTATGGCGTGACAGTGAAAACCGAGAAAAGGAAGGTGCCCAGTCTCGTTGGCATATTCCGAAACTGCGGAGTTCTGAGTACCTGCAAGCTGCATGTCTCTGTGGTGTTCCTTTATTCTTTCACGCATCGATATCGCTGTTTCATCGATATATACTTTGCCGCATTCACATGGAATCTTATAGACAACACCGTCTCGTCTCGTTTCTCGCGAGTCTCGTCTCGTTTCTCGTCTCGTTTCTCGCGAGAGTCAATGAGCCGGCATATACTCGCAAGTGACACCTCGCGTGTCAATGGCGTATGTGTCAAATGTTTTATCTACGATCCGTTGCCAAATCGATGGGACCGAAGGTCCAATGTATAAACAAGCAATAATGTTCATGTAGTTAAACGTGTTGACAGAACCAGGGTAAAACTTACTGGCAAGTACAGAAAACGATCCGCTAGATTAATGGTGTAACTTATCGAAGGCTTGATTCATTACGATCGTATCGAAGGTTAAATACTACACACTGGCTTTTGTAATTAAATATGCAAAATCTTGCAACAGAAATGTCAGAGCGGAATTTCTAACAAACGGGGAACAAATATTCTAGCTGTCCTGCGCTAGAGATGTTTTTCGATTCGATCCGTTTAGTAATTTTCGAGAAACGACTTTCGAGCGTGTGAGATCGAATACAAGGCATTGCGTTACGTAGAAAATTGAGACGACCCCGAAGTTTCAATTGACCAAATTTTGACAGCTCAAACAGCTGGAAACGGTGGGGGTTTTGAGGGGCGGCATTCAAAATTCTGAGACATAAGTGCAAGCTCTCTTTCCCCTAGCCTGTTCCAGGCTCTCGGATAGTGGGGACGAAGCGAAAAGGCGAACGGCCGCGCGAAGGTAGTCTGGGAGAGAGTTTAGGCAGCGGCGGGAGAGCTAGACTGCGAGCAGTCTCTTTCTTTTCCTAATGTTTTTAGGGCACGCGCGCGATCGAGTGGTGAGCGGCGAAGCCGCGAGCCGCGAGAATCGCGGGCGCGGTGAGAAGGAAAAATAAAGAGACTGCGGTGGAATCTTTGATCTTTCAAGTTGCCGCCTTTGACACCTATTTGATTGATAGTTCCGCCCAGTTTATAACGATACAATTTTCGCGGCAAAATATTGTTGTGTAATCCAGCAAAGAAAGGAGAGAGACGACAACTAGAGACGATCGTGTGTCGAAAAAAACCCTGTTTTTGCCGTTTTTATGCAGTATATACATACGGCTTCGGGTAAATAGTCTCGTATGGGAATTTGTCATCCATTTTGTCAGCTTAAACCCTCACAAGAAGCCGATAACTGCGGAAAATAATATCCGATCTGTTACGAGATCTGTTCGCCACTTCAGGAAGGAAATGTATACGTATGGTTTCACCGCGCTAGTGTATGCTGCTTGAAGTTACGAAAAGATCGCATGGCTTAAACTTCTCTTGCGCTTAGCTTTGTCTGTTTTGTTCGGGGTTTTGTTCAACCTTTGCTGCCTCTGTGCCTCGGTCTGTGTTATAAAATCAGCAAACCGTCAATACGTTTGCTAAGTTTGTTGTCACGATTTTGACTCGGCAACTTTTCGACGATATACGAGCAGAAACATGCGAACAATTGAAGAAAGGAACTATCATTTTGTATTTGAGAGGTATGGATCCTGAAACCTTGTAGTTATTACCGGGCCGGAGTTATACAATGTTGATGTGTTGTCGTGCGAGAGTCAATACAATTTTATCTGCGTGGTGATCATACTGCGAAATGCTGCGGCGTTTTATTCCCGGATTCATTGCATCAAATAAGCCGCCTGAGCCGTAACATTGAACTCTTCATATCCAACATAAATTTACTACAGTTCGACCGAGAAAGAAAGTTAGTTTCGTTGACTGGATATATCTGATATATTGAAAGTCAGTTTGACCCCTTGACCCAAATGATCACTTTAACAGGAAGCTGTATGACACCATAGAGCGAAAGGAAACTCACGTTTTAACTTTTCAGATGAAGTTTGACTTACTTAGACGCTTATTCAAAGTATTTTGGAAACAACAGAGTTAGTCTAAGGTCTCTGTATTAAACCAGAGGAAAAGATAAATAGGGCAATCGTCTTCGAAGAGTTGTGTGATGTGCAAATAAAGAGTTTGACGGTAAACTAAAGCTAGCGCAATCGGCTTGCTAGATAATATTACGGCCGCGGAAATAAAATGGCTTCCTCTTGTGTTCAGACTTCAGAAGTATCCCTCCAAGCTTTCCCTCACAAATACGTTGTGCTTCGATTCTCTAGTCTTCGATCTACAATCCGGATTACACTACTAAAACCATCCCGCGAAAACATTTGTCTCAAATTATTCCGACGAGGCGGAGATGAGTTTTGTTGACAGACTGACAGGTAGCCGACCAATCAGCATTTTCCGTTTCTCAGAAACGGGAATTCAAAGAACAAAGAAACCTCCGCAGTCGGTCTATTCCCTCCCTCTCCCCAATCTCTCCTCGTTTTTTCACCTAATTTGCATAATTATAACATTTCCGCTCGCGCCAAAGATCTGAGGAGAAAAGACCGACTGCTCGCAGTCTACGGGAGAGCCTGTAAGCATTTCTTTAACGACCTTCTTCCGCCCCCTTTTGGAGTAAATAGATTTTAGGTGTCAAAATGTCAAACTGGCAATTAATTGGAATCATTCTCGGATTTCTCGTGCGAGCAGTTCGCGCAAATCGATATATCCATCAAACGGTTTCGAAATCGAAACAATTGTTGTTCAAAATCAGCCATTCAGCGCATCGCGGCCGTTGGCAGTTGAACCAACCCTGCCCCGAGCCCAAAGAAAGTCTGCGTTGGAGGCTAGCCCCGCACAGGATTTTTGAAACTGTCTCGAACTATCGCGCCTGTAAAAGGAAGTCAGTTCAGCTGCATTTTCGGTTCGTTTTAAGGGAAATCTTTTCAGTCGGAGCGAAGCGAAAGATGTATTTTATTCTGCAGTACTTCATTGGTCTATCTGAATCGTATTTTCGCTTTCACTGTTAGCGATTTTTTTCTGTTGGAAGCAAAGAAGCCAAGCGTGTTAGAAACAATTGTTTCTAAAT